TCCTGCAGCACTTTGCCAGCAATCTCCTCTGGATGCCACTCATAATTTGCATTGCGCCGACATTGGCCGCATATTTTGTAGCCAGAAATGACGGACAGTTGCTTTTATTTCTGTTGTGGGCCAAACAACTTTGTGACTGCCCGAGGCATACGCTGACCAGCTTAACGGAGTGTTCCCCACTTGAAGTCAACACACATTTCATACAGAATCCCGAAGGTTCGGCAAAACTGGCTCTGCAGTTGTTGCTTTCCAAAGAAAAATCTCCAGAGATGACACCCCCCCCAGCCATCGGAGCTTTGCTCAATTATTTAGGCGGCGAATCCGTTTCCGGGAACATATGCAGCAGCCATATGGGTGCGGGTGCGGGTGTGGGCCCAGGGAAAGCCTGGTTTGTTTGCATTTCAAATTTTGCGTGCTGCATAATTTAGAGTTTTGGATTCATCAGCAGCACCGCCTGCAGATGTGGATGTGGATGCGCCTTTGCCTCCGAATGTGGCTGCATGTTTGGGCTGCTAGTTCCTAGTATTTTTCCGTTGCCAACAGATAAAACGACTGGCAGTTACATCTGCCTGTACATCGCACCTCCGTCTGTGCGCTGGCGATGCATTTTTCATGTTTAATTTCAGTTAGTGCTGTGGCATACCTTTTGGCGCCCATCCACACAGACTCTCGCACGTATTCGTGTTTCTATCTGCCATCCTGCTATCCTGCTATCTATGTGCGCGTGTTTGTTTGGCAATTGTTTAGAGTGTGTGTGTTTGTGTGTAGTTGTCCTTTATTTGCCATGGTCGTGTCAGTTTGACGCTTCTGTCAATTGGCCCAAAACTATGCTGCAGCATTTCATATGCCCTTGGTGATTGCCAGTACCGTGTACCCAGTACCCAGTACCCACTACCCGTAGTTGCTCTCGTATAGTTTTATTAGTTGCTGTTGCTGTTGCTGGTAGTGTGGGTGTCGTTGGAGTTGCTGTTCTAACTGAATTGGCTCAAAACTCCGGGTACGCTGGAACATTTTGTATGCCCTTGGTGGTTGGCAGTGCTCGGACAATATTGTAGCTGCTGTGTGGATGTTACTGGAGATGTGTTTTTAGTTGTTATATCTGTTAGGTGTTGCTGCTGCTGCTGCTGCTGCTGGTGTGCATTGTAATTAATAACAATTATCATTTAATTGGGTAAAACTATGCTCCAACTACGCTCGCATTCGCATGCCCTTGGTGATTATATGCTGGAAAATGGTTCCCCTCCCAACTAAATAAAAAGTGCTTTTATTTTCCCCAAATAGATTCCACAAAAACCACTGAAAAATGCCGAAAATGCTTGAATTTGATACTCTTGCAGTGTGCAGCTGAAACGGCAGCTCTCCTAATTGGTAGCAACTTTCGCCGACACCTCAACACTTGAGCCATGCCTAAGCTCCTGTGCTCGACTCTGAGTCCGAGGATACCAGGATGGTTTTTGCATCTCGAATGGCTGTTCATAATTGCGTGTGCAAAAATGTTTATGGAAACTTTCGTAAATGGCAGAGTTGAGCTTGAAATGAAATGGGTCTTTGAAAAGTTAGCAAGTAAGTTACCTTTTTGGCCCATTCAAATATGAATATGGTTGGCTAGCTGCTGGTCCTCCTGTCCAGTGGGAGGCCAAGCCACATGCCAGAAAATACTTTTCCACAATGCGGCCAACCCTCTAAGGGCCCCAAGAGCTGTGCCAAGACCCCAAACTCTACTCAAGTGATATTGCTCCTGCCAAAAGTATTGTACCACACACACACACACACACACACACCACTGACAATACGAGTGGCAAGCATGAGTTGCCTTTAAGTGAAATTCAATAACGCATAAAATACCAAGTCACAAGCACACACACACGCACACATATGTATACACGTATATTGAGTAAGGATTGGGGTTGTGGCTGGGGGGTAGTGGATAGTTCATGCTGGAGAAAGAGTGGGAATTTCGCATATTACAAATCATTGTTTGGCTCAGCTGCACTGCACACAATTTGTTGTCCGTGTTGGCATTTGGCTCCGCTGCGCAATGCATTGGAGGCTACATAAATTCTGGATGCAGGCACGGATGAATTCCCATTTACTGCGAGGCTTCTTCCGAATGCGTTGCCATGCATTAAATCTTGGATAAATATGCAAAACACATTTGGCAACAAAAAACCGTAACGGAACGGAACGGAGCGAAAAGTTTCGCCCCCATAAGTCAACAAGTCGTCAGAGGTTTTTGCCTAAGACAAATTAAATTTATAAACAAATGGCACACACAGCGAACAGCAAACAGAAGCAGAAGCTGGCAAAAAGTTAAGACCCGGGGTTCCATGGTTTTTTTTGGGGTTTCTCGCCTTAACCCCCCCCACCACCGCCATCAAAACGAAAAAAAAAACTCTGTTGAATGGCGTAGCAGGAGCAGGGGACGACCCTCCATCGCCTCAAAGTATGCTTTAAAAATGTTTCACTTAAGCAACCCCCCAATAAAAACAAAATGTGTACATGACAAACAAACACAAAGTTAGGAGCTCGTTAAAGTACGCCAAGGGGTACAAAATATTCGCAGGAATACGAGGAACAAGCTTTCACTCTTACAGCATCAGCAGCAGGAGCCTTCTGTATCTGTATCTGCATCTGTTTTCCTGTGCGTGCGTGTGTGTGTGTGTGTGTGTGTGAGTCTGTTGTATCTGAATAATGGTAAGTTGTCAAGATGGCTTCACTCTTCACCGTTCACCCTTCACCCTTCACCATTCACCCACAGAAAAAAACACACACGTGCTAAGCACTTCCAGCAACAGTTTTTCTACAATACCAATAAGGTTCTGGTGCTGGTTCTAAGACTGGCTCTGAGACTGGTTCTGGTTTTTGGTTTGGCCTCTGGCCTCCAGCAGCCATTCATTCCTAGATAAGTTAAGTGCGCCGCAAGCAACATGCCATGCATATTCGTACGTACGTATATACATATATGTATGCATGTGCTCCTACTCGTACTCGTATTTTATAATCCCACCCCGAGTCGTCCGGGACTGTGGCTGGCACTGGGCGCACGTGATGCCATAAAGCCAGACAGCGAACGCCCACAAAACGACTTAGCCTAAGCCTGGCTTGCGGCATTTCCCAGCCTCAATGGAAATCTCATGTACGTACACTGTGGTGCGGTACGCGTATACGTATACGTACCTTCCTCCTCGTGGCACATCTAGGTGAAGTTGCTGACTCACTGGAGCGCAAATTGTTAAGGAAAACAGCGGGCGCGTTCAGGCGCAAAAGACACGAAAATCTGATTTGGAAAAGGACCCAGCCGCAGACTTGAAGCCGTGCCAGTCGGCACGGGCTGTGGGGGGTAAACCGCCCAGCGGATGTTTTTCCGTATGTGTGCGCTTGTGGTCAGGAGCACCATAAAAGTGTGGCTGGATGTGCATTTGAGGTTGCCCTAACCGCTGGAAATTTCATTCGAATTCATGGCGGAAAAAGGCAGCCAAGAAATTCCATTTCCAACAATCAGTAAAACGAATTGCAATTAAAAGATTTGATGGTAGAGGATTCCCGCAACACTGAAAAAAGTTCACCAAATCCCGTCGGGCGGGCACAAAAACCGCCGGGCCAAGCGCGTTATTAAAAAGTGGCCCCATTTATGTGTGGATATATTCGGGTATTCGGGTATTCGGATATTTTTTGGGTGACATCAATAACGGATGAGCTGCCATAAATCTTGTGAAATTCATTCGATGTGTGTCCTGGCAGGCAGTCGTGTCCTGGTGCTGGCGCTGGTGGGTGCACCCGTGGTGGTGAAAGAAACAGTAAAGGTAATGGTTACCATAGCGATTCCAACAGCCCCGCAGCCTGGTCACGCAACCCAAACTGAAAGACAGGCAAACATACGAAAACCGAAAACTTGTCAAAGGCTTTCAGGCCCCCGTAGACTCCTTGTACTCCTTCTGTGTCCCGGAGAAGCACTTTAATTTCCCTGATATATGCCCGATGCGATAAGTTCACCTGACAATGGGAGCATATCTATTATTAACATCTAGCATCCGCCTGCCCCCATGCCACGCCATGCTGGCGAAAGGAAAGAAACGCTGGCCCAAAATGAGAAGAAACACATGCCAATTGCCCCATCAGCAGCAGCTTCAGAGCCCAAAGGGTGTGGGAGAGCAGGAGCAGGAGCCTAAGCCGGTCTGGGTCATTAACATAAAGAACTCTGCAGGCGTTGGGCACGTGTCGGCGGTGGCGGGCTTGCCGGGGGAGTACGGAAAAAGGACCGAAAACTATCCCGAAAAGCTCTTCACTCACACAGCCACAAAACAAAAGGCCATGAGTGTGAAAGGGAACGCAAAGATGGTGGCCAAAAGCAGGGCCCGAACCGAACTGTCAACCCGGCGGTGCATAAATCATTTCGACCTGCTTAGGAACCAGCACCGGCATCGGAATCGGCATCGGCACCGCCACCGAAATAGAACTGCAAAACAGGGGAAGGATCACGATGTCGGCAAATGGCAGAACTGTCATCTTCTAAAGAATTTAATTGACAGTAGAAAGTCATAAATTAAATGGCGTATCAAAGACGATGCCTCGAACCAACATGGAAGCAAGGAAACAGGCCAACAGGGACCTGGAACCGAACCCAGAGTGGAGCTAATTGTGAAGGACCTGCTCGGCCGAAAGGACACACGTGGGGAACACGTGTGAGAGCGAGCGTGCGTGAAAGGAAAAACATACCGATTTGGCTTGCTAATAAATTAATGATAGTGGTTCGTAGTGGTTCGTAGTGCTTCTCCACCCACCAAAATCTGTGCGCCACATGAATAGAAGACAAACACACTTAGGCGACATTCGCTCGCACACGAGGGGCAATTTATGGCATTTCGGACGATGGCAGCCGTGTGCAGGAGAGCAGGACAAAGGACAGGCGTCACTCGGACTGGCGCCAAATTCATTTATCATCGGAGGCGGGGTGGGGGAGAACCTAAACCTAAGCAGGAGACAGTTTTGGTAAGCGCTGACTGGCACTTCAAACACTTTAACAACACTGAAAACTCCAGTTTCGAATTTCCTAACTTCGCTTTCGGTTTTAGTTACTTTCCTTTTTGGTAAGACGAAATTTAAGCTACTGTTGAAATGAGTTCGCCTGCCCCCCAAGGATCTGCAAGAAGTGCGCGAGGCGATCCCCAAGGGCTGCAGACCCTTCGACACATCCAGCAGCACCTGGGACCCGAAGCCATTGAGGAGCTGGCCTGTGCGGAAGCAGGATGGTATCGCGACATTTCCAATCCACAGATGGACGCCGCTCGGGCCCTGAAGGACGCGCTGCGCGATGACATGGAACAGAGGACGACGCGCCGAACGTGGCAGCTGGTGGAGGTCCTGGGGCTGCGCCCTCGACCGTCCAGGAAGACGCTGATCATGCTGATGCGCATGAGCAGGGGCAACGACTTGGCCTTTCTCTGGTTCCTCATGGAGATGTGCTACAAGACGGAGGCCCATGGCCGAGCGTACGACATCAACGAGCAGATCATCATGTCCGCCATCTTCTGGCTGGACCTGTACCCCACCCTCCAGGAGCTGGACCGCGTGCTACCGCTTCAGAATGCCACCGAGACACACAATGCCAATGCCACGGCCACGGCCAATGCCGAGCCTCGTCAAAAGCAGAGCCAAAGGATTCGGGACCGTCGATCGGAGAGCGAGAATGGGAAGCCAAAGAAGCCTGCCATGATGCGACCCCTGTCCCCATACTTCCAGGAGACACCAGTCATCCGATCCTGGCATCCCACTGGAAAGTTTTTCTCCGAAATTCCCGCCCGTCCGGCTCTGTTGAGCAACAGGCCCAGGCAGGTGATCCCGAGCACGTCGCCGCTCTTGTCCCGCTGGTTCGGCCACTACGCCCTCAGCGACGCCCACCGCATAACCCGGACCATCCTCAACGAGGAGATCCGCAACATAATTGCCTCCTTGAACGCGGCCGAGCTGCCCGCCAACGATGTGGAGTCCATGTGCTCCCACCACCAGCGGATCAGCGAGATGGAGAAGTCGCTGAAGGTGCAGCTGGAGGCCCTGAAGCAGCAGCAGTGCGAGGAGCTGCTCACCGCCCCCAACCGAGCACAGCAGCGGCGACGCAAGAGGGTAATTTCCGAGCTGGAGCAGATGGTGGCCTGCTGCCAGGCCCGCTTCCACGAGATGGCGGCGAGGACGCGCCTCGCCTCCACCAGGAAGAAGCTCTTCAGCTGCGCCTGCGCTGGTGCACCCGTGGATAAGAATTTTTTCTGCCTGGACAAAGGATCTGGCGGGGGAGATAGCTGTGCAGAGGAGCCAAATGTGAGACTACTGCAGGGCGAGAACCCTCTGATCCCACACTGCTGCCCCGACTTCAAGTTGGAGGCGATGGACTGTGCGAACTGTGAGCTCTACGACCCGGAGAAGGGTCTGCCGGAGCCATGCACTGGCAAAAGCCTTGGACGCCCCAGCAGCTTGATGCAGTTTCTGAAGCTTTGCGACATCGAGAAGGAGAAGCTGAGCGAAGAGGACAAGCAGAAGGCTCCTGCTTCTGCTTCTGCTCCTGCTCCGTCGCAAAGTTGCAGCGACAGCAAAAAGTTGTTTGAGTTCGGCGCAGCAGGCGCTGCGGGCTTCAAGTTCGACTATCGGCGGCTCTTTGGGCCCTCGAAGGCCACTCGCCTGGACGACCAGAACTTGCGGATGAAGGCGGCCTTTGCCAAGGCCTTGGACGAGGATTGCGAGTTCCTGAATGCCGCCCTCAACGGCGAGGAAGACGACTCCCTGGACGCTCTGGTGGATAGAGCAGCCAAGCGCGTGTTCGCCAGCGATACGAAAACCTTCGACGAGGAATACGATCGATTGCTGCGCCGCAAAGCGGAGCTGAGGGCCGACCGCCGCCTGCAAATGGGCAAACAGCACTTCGACCCAGAGGACACGTCGCTGATGAAGAAAATGCTCCGATTGGGACTCGACACCGTCGCCAAGGATCGCCGCTATGTGCTGCCCACGCTGCCCAACGTCCACACGGTGCCGTACCTCATGGAGTGGATCTGCTCGAGGTACGGCAAGCGCTACTCCCAGGCGGAGCGGGAGCGCAGCTACGCACAGAACACCTTCCAGATGAGCGTCCTCTACGACATCATGAAGTACCCGCTGGTGAAGCCGCCCAGCCAAGTCCACACCCGGCGACTGCGTTCCCTCTCCAAGAACCTCCGAGAGCACCAGACGACCCTCTTCGTGGAGGCACTCATGTCGGTGGGACGCGTGTTCTTCAACGCCATGCGCTCCCCGCTGTGCCACACCCCGCCGGGCGACACCTTCTACGCCTACATGCCGGCCGCCTACCGCGACACGGGCTTCAGCATCAACAAAAAGCTTCATTAGTATTTGTATGTTCTGGTGCAGACAAGAACGGACTGAAGCTCCTTCTACATGTTCTTTAAACACCCAACTATTTCTTCAAAGAAAACTATTTTAGTACTAAATGTAAACAACGATTAACTTAAATATGTAAATTAAAGGCAGCGTATGACTTACCAAGCCTAGAAACAGTACAGGGACAAAACACTGGAAGATACACTGTTACCAATTGAATATTTAAGTTGGAAAAACATTATAACAGGACTAGAATAAGTTCTAATTATTGGTAATAATTTAGAACATACAAATACGAGTATTGTTTTACATTGCATGTGGTAGGATAACCCCTATCAGCCCCTTTGTGTAAATATTAACCCACACAAGCCCTAATAGTTCCTACAAGTACGGCCACACTGGAGGAATGCCGAACATGTGTACATCGACGCTCGATCGTTCTGCAAGAGGTTAAATGAAGAGAGTCGCGTTCGGACAAATGGAATAAAGACATAAAAGTACAAGGCCTCGTTTCACTCTCACTTGCAATACAATAATACAAATAAATCCTAAAATTTTTTCTAACTGAGAATATCACTTTAACACTCTCCGACTTCCAGTGGTGTCTCTCTATGGACACTAATTTGGCATTCGATGTGGCTTTAGAATCACAACTGGCTACTAGTGCAGGTTCTGTAATAGTTAGTAAGCCCTCCCCCTGCCTGCAGACCAAGCTTTATTTAATTGAAACTGTAGGTCTCTGGCAGCCGTTGCTCACACATCCAGAAGGCTCCACCCTCTGGCTCTATGGAAAATTGCTATGCATGGACGCATTTCCGTTTCCGCACTTGGCCATGCAGGCCCTGCGCATTGGTCAAGACTCGCAGGGGCCCACATACGAGTACGGCTGAATTATTAAAGCCGCATTTGGCTTGGTCCTTGTTCAGCTCCTGTGTGACTCCTGCTACTGCTGCTACTGCCGTTCCTCTGTGGCCCGTGCTTACCTTCCGCGGCTGTTGTTTCAGGCCGTGGCGTGGCTTGGCCATTTCTGCTTTCGTGTGCAGCGGGGCGTGGTAAAGCCAAATTGCGTTATCCGCCTGCCAAACGGCGTAAAGTCTGCTTATTAAAATATTAATTGAAAGTGGAAGCGCCGATAACTGCGCGCGGAATCGACGAGCGAGCACCAAACAAGCACCCGACAGACGACAGCCAACAGACAACAGACATCCAACAACAATGGCGTCCATTTCCGTTTCCCTTTTCCTTTTCATGTGCCGAAAAGCAAACACTGCTGATGTGCTGCTTTATCGCCCTCATAATTACGGCATAATGAAAATGCCAGACACGGGCAAATAAACGGCATCGGCATCCCCCAGCATCCCTGGTGGCGCTCACCTGGAGACCACACACAGAGCTCGTACAAGCCAAATGGGGGGGTGCCCTCGTAAAGTCGGGCGCCAGATACAAAAATATCCAAGAATAACGCATAAAAATGCTGAGCGATACGCCTCCTGGCTGGCTGTCCTCCCATGCCCAGCACACACACTCGCACGCCCCTCTGGCCAAGAAATAAGCATAAGCCTAGTTAGCCATCATCAAGGCCAGGACCAGAACCAGAACCAGGACCAGGACAGCAGGCCCAAGCTAGCCGGCAATTTGGAAGACGCTGCTGCATCCATTGTTTTACGAGCCATAAACATTAACAATTAGGCGGAGAGGAGAGGACCCGTCGAGCCGTTATGATTTTAACAACTGGCTTTAATTAGAAAAATACATTAGCATGCGCATTAGCCGGGACATGGAACAAGGAACATGGAACATGGAACAAGGATTCGGGACTCGGGACTCAGTTGCAGTGCTCCTGGACACTGTTGCTGAGGGGGAAGAAGAGGAAGTAGCCGACTCCCGCGCCGAGCAGCACGGCGCTGCAGAGCCACACATTGAAGCTCATGAAGACGAGCATCAGCAGGAATGAGATCAGCACCTGCAGCATGTGTAGAAAGGTCTGGGCCATGTGCAGTGGTGATAGATAAAAATCCCACGTGAAGGTCTCGCTCGTCTCCTGGCTCTCCACAGCCGGCAGCGGCCGGCCTGGGCCCGGCGGACCTGGCGGATGAATGTGCGAATGGGCGTTTGCCGCTGGCACTCCTTGGGCGCTCGATGTGGACAGTGCTTGGCCGCGCGAGCCGCGCGTGCCTGATACGCCGAACCGCGGCCAGGCTACAGAACCCGATGTGGTCTTAGCGATTTTAACGCCCGATGTGGTCTTCGGCCGTTGAGCGCTCGCTACGGACACTGCTGGGACGACCGTTGTGGGAGTAGCTCGAGCGTCCGATGTCGGTGCAGGATTGGGGGCAGATGTCGGCACGGTGTGATCACTGGATGAGGACATGGCCAGGTCCCCCAGCGTGGATGTGGACTCCCCATCCGATATGTATGTAGCAGTAGTCGGTGGTGTCGGTGGTGCCGGCGATGCTCGGCGCACCGGGGGCGGGTGATACACATACGCCTGTACGTCCTGCCGCCTTAACAGTGGCTGTGGCTGAGGCGGTGGCTGTGGCTGTGCCTGTGTATACTTGGGGCTGCGGATAGTAGTCGTAGTAGTTGTAGTGACGGTAATGGGGCGGACTGTAGCGGTCGAAGCCCCCCACTATCCGCCGCCTGCGACGCCGAAACAGATATTCGCGCAAGAACTTGAGCGCTTCGTAGAGAATGGCCACCATGAAGATGCCCAGGCAGGAGACGGCCAACGCCAGCCGAGTGTCGCAGTGCCAGAACTTGAACAGGATAGTCTCCGTGTAGCCACCGTGGAAGAACATGGTCATGCCCCCATGACCCCCGTGCCCGCCAGAGTCATGAGCCACCCTGTGGATGGGATCGCGGTGAGGATGCAGCGTGACATCGTCGTCCTGGAAATAATCCATTCCTCCGTGGTTATGCCTCGGACTCATAATGCGACTTCGACGCTTTCGGTAGTTCGCAATTCAAAAATGTTGACAAATGTTTCACTTTCTCCACAGAACTCCAAAAACTTTCAATGAAACTATGAGATATTCTAGAGCACTTGAAGTATTTCCCAGTGTGCAATTCGATTGGGATTCCAATTGAAACTATTAAACTACAGGGGGAATGTCGAAATGTCGAAATAAATAATAAATAAATTATCTCTCGCTCTAATCTCTCACTGATGTGTGTCATGTCGGTGTGTAATGAGAATCCTTTGGATAAGTATCACCTTCCCTTACAAATCTGACGGGAAATGTACCTCAATTTGTCTGCAATTGATGGTACACGCTCCTCACCACTGGATAGGCGTCAATTTCGACGGATTCCACTGCCAATTCTGGCAAATCATTAACATAAATGGCATGTGGCCAGAGCTGTCTGCACTGTGTGGGCTCTACGGACTCGCCGGACGCCAAATCAATGCAGTTGTGCCGTGGCTGAGCGAGACAAGCGGGCAAATTTGATGCGGCTAATGGTAATGGGAATCATTTTTCATTAGACGCGCGGAGGAGACGGACTCCTGACATATTAATAAAGATTTAAGCGGGGCAGGCACCGAAATTAAGATCGCATCCACAACATCCACGGCATCCACTGGCAATTGCTCACGAGTCTACCATTAGATTGTGTAATACTAAATATTAATCATACGCACGCCGCGTGGTGCGCGCCGAGTTAATTTATGGGCCAGCCGCTGATTGCCAAACGGAACGGGATTTTTCAGCCAAAACGTGCTGCAATCTTTTGTTTGCCATTTTTTTTAGAGTGTACGTGAAGACATGAAAGGGCGACAGGGAGGCTGGGGCGCTGGTACGCTGGGAGCCATGGGCGAACAAAATGAAGCCACTAGCTGTCGGAGGGAACGCCTCACTGACCGCCCATTAATGCTCCTCCTGTTCTTGTTCCAGTTCCGTGCAGGATCCGGCACATTAATCATTTCGAATGCTTGCAGCAGCCATCGCAGCGTGGTTTTTCCGCTTTTTCCGCCAGTTCTGTTTTGTTTTTTATTTTTCGACCAGAGCTCACACAAAAAACAAAAGGACATCCACGCGGGCCACAACGAGCCGCAACGATCCGCAACGGGTCCGTCCCACTCGCACAACAAAGTGATTCCTGCATTAAATGCTTCTCTTTTCTATGCCAGCCCCACAGACCTTAATTGTCAAGACGGAAACAAGGGAGCAAGGAAGGAGGGAAGGAGAGAAGGCAGGAAGGCTCACAAAAAGCGCAGACACAGCCCAGACGAATGCTGAATGCTCTGGGGAAATGGGAAACTAATGCACACTTACAGGAATCCTTGGATTCCTCTCCTCCAACTTAAGTTGAGCAATGAGTTTTCCAAGAAGCTTTTCTTTACTCTTGTTACACAAGGCAAAGCTGCACTGTCCATTGTCCATTCTCCATTCTCCATTGCCCATTGTGTGCAGCCCGACCCGGCTTAAAGCATCTTGGGAGCTGGTCCCTGTCCCTATCACTGTCCCTGTCTCTGTCTCTGCCCCAAAACCTGCTGGCCCTTCCGTTCCATTCTTTATCAATTGTCTCCTAGAGCAAAGCGTTAATCATGCCACATTTAACGAAGCCAAAGTCGACTGCTCCCACGGGGCTCTGCCCCAGATTTCGATGGTCAAAGTTTTGCCGCGCTGCTTCCGTCCGTTGCTTGCCTCCTGTCAATGGATGGCAGCCGAATCAGCGACGGCAATGAATTAGACGAAAGAATGAAAAATGTTCTACGACAAGCCCAAAAGCGGTCCAAGTAGAATGTAGGGCAGCACGCAGGGCAGGGCAGGACAGGGCAGGACATGGCAGGGCAGGGGCATGGTTCGTAAGGACCCGGGCAGCCTTGCGTGTAATCGCGCTGCTAAGTCCATTTAATCAACTTAATTTTGTACAAATTCCCAGAAATTTCAGCTCACTTTTCCCGTACTTTCTTCACTTTCGACTGGGTGACGGTGACGTGACACCGGTCGGCATTTAATAAAACATTTTCTACAATTATAACAAAGAAGAAGTGTGCAGAGGCAGTGGCAGAGGCAGAGTGAGATTGAGAGGCTAAATGTGTCTCTGGGCTGCAGAGCAGAGCAGATGCCTATCGCTCCATGTTGAAATGGAGTTGTTAGCGCTTGAAAGAATTTATATAATTTAATTTGAATAAATCTACACAATTTGCAAAGGTGTGTGTGTGTATTCTTTTGGGTTGAATACTCATATCTGACGGATGGATACGTGATACCTTTGTGGATTTATCTGTTTGTAAAATGTGAGTGCTCTGCGGTTAAATAACTTTCACTAAACCCTCAACTCCATCTTGACTGGGTTTCACATTTCTTTGTTTGAGTCATTGAATACTCGCACAAAATATTAAATTGCAATTTTTGCCGAGATGCTACTTTGATATTTATTAAATTTAACATCCTCTAGGAGGAAGCCCTCAGCCCCTATCCGTCTACCATCTGATAGTCATTTTGTGGATGGTCTTCACTTTTATGGCTGAAACTGGAGCTCATTTCTGTTTCGTCTCGTCTCGTTTCTGGCAAAAACATTTTGAAATTTGTCTTATTACCTTACAGCATTGACATTTGGCTGCTTGCGGCGTGGGAGGGGCTATTGATTTTCGATTTTCGATAGCGCTATCGGACAAATCTAGCTGCTCGTAAGTAGTCACTTTAGCTGCCGCCTACACAGCTGGAACTGGAACCGAACCCTCTGAAACATTCTAGACGAGAGGAGAGTGCCACTTACAGGAAATTGAGCTCAATTGGGGGTTTTTTGTTACGTGCCACACTCTGGCGGCACTCTGGCACGCTGGCCCTCTGGCCCTCTGCCTTTTGCTTTTATTGTTTTTCGGACTTTGCCAATTTTCAGTGTGGCTGTCCAGAAAAGGGTCCTGTCTGCCATCCCCATCCCCCATCCCATTTCCGCTGTCTGTTGATTTATGTGGCACATGCTTGTTAACACTTCATGGCTATGGGCCCGACAACTACGCACACTTTCATATGCGTATGTACATATATTTTTCTAACAACAGACCCTGTCCCTGACAGCCAGCTGCAGAAGCAGCACAGCACAGCCCCGACGATTCCCGTTGTTTCATAAACGTCGTATTAGTGTCACGAAAAGCACTAATAGAAAAGTGCCGAGCAGAGCTGCAACAGTTTTGCTGCAATCGTCAGCTTTTCTTCATTTCGTCGGAATTTGAATGCAAAAATCCGCTTAACTGAAAACGGGCATCCTCCTTCACATTCACATCAAGCATCCCACATCCTGCATCCCACATCCTGCATCCGTGGATGAGTGGGTGAGTGGAAGGCGTGTCCTTGTGCTTGGTGTATTTTTTTGGCTGGCTGCCGGAGCTCATAAAGTGGCATCCCCGCATGTACGGGCGTAAAATCATCATTTATCAGCAGGCAGCCAGGCAGCCAGGAGGAGCTCGGAGCTCGGAGCTCGGCGCCCGAAGCTCTCAGAGTTCTCGTAGCTGGAAACTGGTCCAACTGCTGGCGCCGTCAGATCCGCATCACTTTGTCATTGTCATACCCTTTTTCAAGAGCTTTTCCCTACATCCTGGAATCTCTGCGAAAAGTGGCTGCCCGCCCAGATCTTTCGCTTCGAAGCATTCGCCTTGTTTATGTCTATGCCTTGCCCCCAAAAAGAAATATAGTGAAATGTGCAGATATTTGCATGGGGCAAGAACGGCACACGGGAATGGCTCCTCCATCCTCCATTCGCCATCCGCCACAGATGTTTGTTAGTTCTGTTTGCCTTTTGATATTTTCGCCATGTTGGCGCCAGCTTTCGCTTTAGCTTCCGTTTCCGGAACGTGCATTCTGCACGTTTGCCCAACTTGTCACTTTCAATGAGCAGAATGCACTCGAATGGGAGAATAAGAGTCTGATTCTGATTCTGCCTCTGATTCTGCCTCTGCCATAGACGCTTTTTGTGTGTTTGGGTTAAAGCCACTTGCAGCCCCGTTAAATTTCCCATTGGGCTGACATTCTGCTGCATTAACTACTGCCGCCAGCTGCTGCACTTCGCTTCGCATTTTCACATTTTCCATTTGCCATCTGCCATTTTCCATTTGCCATTGCATACTGCGAATTGCGCTCTTGTTGAATTTGAATTCAATTCTTCTTCTGCTGTCGCTTTTTATGAATTCTGGCATAGAATTTAATTTCCATGGCACACTTTTTGGCTCAAATTCTATGGGACACTGTCGGACACCGTCGTGACGGACTGAGCAGATACTATTGAAAGACCCTGGCTGGCACTTTGTCGCAGCTTCAATAAATGTCACTTTTTAAGAATGAAAATTCACTAACAAAGGGGACAATTTAGAGTAACTTGAAGACGCAGTAATTGGGCAGAGGTATGCCCCAGGGCATTTCAGTTGCTTGTGGCTGTGAACAGGGGGAACAATAGACTTGACGGGTACAGGTGGCAGTGCAGTGACAGCTATCCTCCATAAGTACTGCTGTAACAAGTTTCAAACTGATTGCCAGGTATCCCGTAGTCGCAATAATCAACTGAACTCTGAAATCATTCAACTGAATGAACTTATTTCTTCAAGTGAAGAATGACCCTTGCAATTTATATAGAATAGAATAGAACAAACTGGAGACTTGTTTAAATTACATTTATACGGTTTGCCTTTTATTTGATGCATTAACTTTCGCACTGCACTCGTTGGAAAAACAGTTTTCAAATGCAGTCCTGCAGTTTGTTTTGGTAAGCTTCACTCGGAAAGTGTTTTGTTTTGCTTTTGTTTTGTTATATTTACTATAATATTTGATGTTTGTTTTCATAGAGAACTCTAGTTACTCGTACTCGTAATATTAGCTGGGCTTTAGCTTAGTTTTTTCTTTTTTGTCATGGTTTCTTCTCATGAGTGTGGGAGGTGGGGGTGTGGGGGTGTTGGTGTGGTATGTAAATAGTTTTGATAGTTTATCTCTCGCTTGCTTTTGTTTGTTTTGGTTTGGTTTGGTTGCTTGTGAATATCATTATCATTATCGTTATCATTAGCATTACATATACATATACAGATACAGATACATACAATAAAAACATGCACACTTAGTAGACTTCGACTATATCTAGATGCTTTGTATAAGTAGGTGTTGCGTTTGCGTGTGTTGCGTTCCGTCCGATGCAGCTTCGATTCAATCTAAACATAAAAGTAATGCTTAATGTTTGGTATCACAGAGAGGCGTGACTTTTTCATACAAAATACATACAACGAAGGACTAATGAAGAAAGTTACAAATTACAATATTATAGTGTTTCTCCCTTGAGCCTGAGCCGCGACTACCTTGCACTCGTACAATATACATACATATGTACATATGTATATCTAGTTTATCGTTTATCGTGTATAATATATAGACAGAGCCATTGAACCGTATTTACAGAGGATAGCTTCTTCCACGGAACACACTAATAATATTAATAATAATTATATTAATTATATTAATTATAGTAGCTTTTAATACGTATCTAGATTATTCATTTAGGTTTATTTTTGGCTCTGTTTTGAGTATCTCGCGCAAATCAACTAACGTTTAAGCAGGGGGGGGGAGTGGGTGGTAGGGGCTAGGGGCACTACGCAGGATGGGAGGATGGGAGGATGGGAGGATGGATATCAATAGATTCGATAACGATTGTGGCTCATTTCCGGTGCTGATTGTTTTCGAAACATAAAAGGAACCGTAGAAACCTGTCACAGTTACAACCGTGTGTGTGTATGTGTACGTGTGGATACTTATAGTTCTACCTGTTAAAATTACAACAACGAGTTACGTTTAGAGGAGTCGTCTACATATATCGCACCTACACACGTGTGTATGCATGTATAGTGTGGTCCTAGGCGGGGCGGGGCGGGGCGGTGCACTACTAACACTACTACATACAAATACTCTTCTTCTTATTCTATCCGTTAGGGTGCTGGTGTGTGCGTACAACTAAATGTGTGTGTGTGTGTGTGTGTGTGTGTGTGTGTGTGTGTTGGAGTGAGTGAGCAAAGATGGCCCGGGAGCAGCATCCCAGCCTTAGAGAAAACTCTCTCGGGCGCCGTGACGCTCATCGCCCAGCATCACCCGCTGCGAGGGCGGCTCGCCGTACTGATCCTGGTAGTAGTTCTCCCGCATCATCGTGTTCAGGCTGGAGCAGCGGAAGTAGAGGATCTCCTGGAAGGGCTTGCGGAAGTCGCGGTTGAGGGTGGCGTAGATGATGGGGTTCAGCAGCGAGTTGGCGTAGCCCAGCCACAGGAAGAGGGAGGAGAGCGAGGGCGGCACGTGCATCGTCTCGAACGGCCGGATGAGCGCCAGGATGAAGAAGGGCAGCCAACAGATGGTGAAGGCCGACATGATGATGCCCAGCGTGGTGGATGCCTTCTTCTCCTTGGCCAGCTGGAAGCGGAGCTTTTTGTGGTGCGGCGACCCCAGGAGGCCCGTGGAGCCGCTCGCACCGCCCCCGCTGCCATGGTGGCCGCCGTGATGACCGCCCGACGGTCCGCCAGTGATGGCCCCGCCGCCACTGCTGAGTCCCCCACAGGTGGAGTACGTGAGGGAGGTGTTGCCGACGCTGCTGTGCCGTTGCCCGTTGCCGCTGACCAGCTCCGTGTGTCCCGGCGGCGGATCGGCGGCTGTGGGCGATCCCTTGCCGTTGAGCGCCTTCTGGAGATGGGTCTGGGCTCGCTTCTCCTCGAGGACGATGCGGCGGGCAGCCCTGAAGATCTGGTAGTAGACGAACAGCATCACGGACAGCGGGATGTAGAAGGAGCCCAGCGTGGCATAGATCTGATATGCGAAGTTCTGGCACACCGTGCAGATGGGCATTCCGTCCTCGTCCTCGTGCTCGTTGCCCAGGATCAGCAGCGGCGGCAGCGAGATGCAGGCGGCGGCCAGCCACACAACCATCACGCAGAGCATCATGCGGCGGGGCGTCCGCTTCACGCCGTACTCCAGGGGCTTGGTGATGGCCAGGTAGCGGTCCACGGAGATGGCGCACAGGTTCAGGATTGAGGCGGTGCAGCAGAGGACGTCGAAGGACACCCAGATGTCGCAGAGCAGCGGACCGAAGTTCCACTTCTCCAGCACCTCGTACAGCAGGGCCATGGGCATCACGAGCAGGGCCACGCACAGGTCGGAGAGGGCCAGGGAGACGAGCAGGTAGTTGCAGGGACGCCGCAGCTTCCGCACCATGCACACGGCGATGCAGACCAACACATTGCCCACCACGGTGCCCAGGATGACAATCAGCAGGACAAGGCTCACGAAGATGGACTGCAGCGGCGGCAGGACAAACTCCCCGGCCGCGAACTCCTCAATCAGCAACGGGGTGTCCGAGAGCGGCCCCAGAGTGGCGTTGTTGTCCGTGATGCTGCTGGTTATCCCCTGATGGGCTATGATGGCCACGGGACTGCTGTTGAGCGATGCGGAGTATGGATATGGCAGCGCTGTCGTCGCGGTAAAGGCAGCCGCGGAGGCTGCCGAGGACGAAGCGGCTGCCACGGCTCCCAGGAAGGCGCTGCTGCTGTTGAAGTCCGTCACCGACTCCGACTCCGTGCCGCTCTCCTCGAGCCGCGGTGGAACCGTGGTGGCCGCCTTGGCCGCTGCATAGGCCACCCAGCTGCTGAGGAAGAGTATCAGCAGCGTCAGTGTGGCGGTGGAGATCAGTGTGGTACGGTGGTTGCTCTGATGGCGTCGCCGTCGAGCTGCCGCTGCGGCTGCAACGTACTCCGGCACGGACGAAGCCATCAAACGGGGTTCTCTGTGTTCCAGAATTGCGGTTTCAATTCGTCAGGGGGTGGTGGCGACACAGCACTAACCTGCTGCTGCTGCTGGTGCTGCTGGTGCTGCTGCTGCTGCTCATCATCATCATCTGGATCATTGTGTTCATCATCGCGTAGCACCGCTAGTGCCGCACAATGCCTTGATTTACCCTTCGCTGTTGCCGTGCAATATTCCCGTCATTAATCATAATTTCAATAAGAATAAGTCGTCTTATTAGTTTCCTTCCCAGCTCCCAGATGGAGCTCAGCTTCTGGCCTCTGGCCTTTGGCCTTTGGCGTTTGGCCTTTGTGTCGCTTGATTACTAATTTATGTGGGCTGGGCAGGCCAGGCGTTTGCTTAATAAAAACGTAGCTGCCGGCTGCCTATTAAATGATTTCGCTTGATGTCGCCCAGAACATTGACTTTTATGGGTATTACTCCACTATATCTATACCGGACAATCTCCGGAGTGGCTGTTTGTGGCTGGGATTTATGGCTGGAGTGGATCTGTTCTGCTGATTGTCGACGGCCTGCAAAGAGTAAAAGAAGCGAAGAGAATATTACATTCTGGTATTTATGAAGTGCAAATAGGTCGGTATTAAATTCCCAATTTAAATTCTCATTCTGCCATAAATCTGTCGCACTCGCAGCTCGCAGCTCGCAGGCTTCCCCGTCTCGTGCACGCACATGTTGCCCTAATGATGCTCACAGTTGTTACAATTTCCAGGGCATCGTTTTTAAACAATGAAACACAGAAAGAAAAAAAAGGAAAATAAATAAAGAGAGCGAAGCAGCAGAAGAAAGAAACAAACCGCGAACGTTTTCATGGCCCCACGGCCCCGCGGCCATTTTCGCATGGTTTGTGTACTCGCTAAGCATTTTCCTCATTTTCCACGAGTCATCCTTGCGGCTGCGGCTCCACACTGGCGTCCCTTTGTATTAATTTTCATACTTCTTTTGATTATTGAATCGTTGGGCGGTTGCCATGCCCCACAAGCCGCAGCCCACGCCCACGTCCACGCCCAGTAGCACTTGACGCTCTTGAAAATGCGAAACAAATAAACAAAAGGACAGCAGCTAAAAGGCGGCAGCTCGTCTCCCGCCTTTATTGCAGCCATTTTGGCTGGCAGCTTCCGTTTCGCAATTTTATTTATTTCTTTTTCACTGCTCAGCCTCACCTCACCCTCACCCTCACTCTTGCCTTGCGGTCAGCAGTCCTAGAAGTAGAACCGCGACCAAAAGTACGAGTACGAATTTGGAAATTTCTCTCCTAATTGAATTCCATTTGAGCCTCTGAAAAGCGGTCGTCGAACCGAAGGGCTCGAGCTGCCACCGCAATCGGGGACTGGCTTTAAAAAATCACTTGGTTTGGTTTACGGGCTGCGCTCATTCCTGTGTCTCGGTTTTAGAATTTATTGAATGTGGCTGGCAATCGATCCTGACGGAGCGGAGGAGGAGGCTGGGGAGCAAGTGTCTAGACGGCCAGACGATGCCACACCTGTGCTGCAGGTGTGACCCTCTTTGCCAGAGTCAAATTTTTAAGTGAAACAAAACAAAAATTAAATGGGGATTTGCATCATTAAATAACTATTCTAAAGGTAATTTAAAAACTGTGAGGCAACGAAATAGGATTGGGTTATCTATGAGGGGAGTCTCCAAAGCTTTGCCGTAAAGGGATTCCCCTAATTTGCTCCCAAAGTTGATGAGTTTATTCTGTGATAAATGTCATTTTCTATTCCTCTCATATTTGCATAATTGTTTGTATCACACCTCATCCCTGATGGCATCAATATCAATCGCCCCGCAAACCGCAGCAAACTATGCAGAAACATGCCAACGAAAATTGGTTGGATATCGGATAATAGGATGGCATAATAATTACCAAACTCTGAGCGAACAACATTGTGCGCTGCTCATTATTGTTTTAATTTTATTTCGAGTGCAACGATTTTTGGAAAATTCCATCTCTGGCGGAAAATTGTCTGTTGGTTTCACATTCGCATGGCTGCATTTTGTGAGTGTGCACTCCAATGGGGAATGGACACCAGTGTTAATTATGCTAATCAAGCGGACACCAGGCGGTCCCTGGCGATGCCTGGCAGGGGGTTTCTGACATGGACATGGACAGGCCTCTTTGCGAGAGTTGGCCAATTATTTGGTCAGCAAATAACAAATCGTAAGCCGCTTTAAGCTTCGGGGGACAGTTGCCAAGTCGGACTACCGTTCGGATGAATTCTCCCGGCAACAGGACATAAATAATGTAATTTAATTATGAATTGTTCGGGGGAAGGACGTGCGACTAGGGCTTAAAATTTCCCCTCATTTCGTTGCTGGTCTTTTGTGTTATTGCCAAAGCCGACAGCGGCCTAAATATTCATAGGTTTTAATATTTATGTGCCACGACCTGTATGAGAGACTTTCTTTTGGTTTTCTTCCCACAGAATCCACCTGGCTCGACTTTTGATTGCCACCGCACGACTGCCACACTATTTGACATTCCTAATACGTTCCCGAGCCCGCAGCGCACAACTTTTTAGATGCTTGGCAATTTTCCTGCCCAGCCCAGCCCCTCTGCGGCAGCGTCTTGAGGTTTGCCGCAGTCGCTCGACGCCGCTGACAGGTCGGGCTGCAGAGGGCCCCAATTTCTTGTCCTGAGAAACAAGTATAGTTGCAGAACAAATATAGTTTTAGTTTGGCTCTGAAATTTGTTGGGCAAACTATTTTGCAGATGCGGTGCCTGATTTCCGACTGCTCTTGTAAACTATTTACTGCGGCGGAATGAGCACGGATTTCCATTTTGCTTCTGCATTATTAAGTTCTGTGGAGAGGAGGATTCACTGGCCAATTCATGGCTTTCCTTTCAGTTAACACAAAATATATTTTATGACTGCGCTGACGCTTGCAAATCCTCAAGTTTTTCTCCCCCAACAGAATAAAGTGCTTTTTAAAATCAGCGAGCGTAAACTTAATTTTCCAGATTCAGATATCCCCAACAATTGTTTCAGTCACCCGAGCCCCACAGCAGGAGCAGGAGCAGCCACGAGGACGGCATCCAATGCAGTTGATGGTTGCAGTTTATGGTCTGCTGCGGACCTGCTCCTCCGCCACTCCGCCACTCTGCCACTCCTTTGCTGTGGTTTGGCTTGGCTGGCGCCGGCACTTAAGCTTTTCGTTCTTTTGGTCTTTTTTAACAGACAGAATTTTTAAAGCTGAGCAGATTTGCGGCTGAGACTCGAAAGTCACGAAACAAGTGACTCACTCAGGGATATAATATAATGTAGTATAATAAATCCTTGAAGAATAAAAGCAGCCCAGAACGGTGCAGTCGGGTGGCTGCATAATGAGATACCCGCTACGCAGTCCCAAAAGCTACAGGTGCCACTTGTTTCCTTTGATCAAAGGAGCCTCCAGGGAGCGCAGATAAAACGTTTCCTTTGTGTGTGTATCGAATGGCAGACTCTCCTGGGATATTGGTTTCTTCATTCTGGCTGATAATAGCACCGAATCTACCAAACTTCTTCAAACGGGTAAAAGTTAAGTGTAAAAGTTGGTCAAATAAAAAGCTGCAAAGGGCCAAATCTGTGCTGTCCATGGGTCGTATGCGTAACTCATTCCATGCGCTCGTCCGCAAGCGAATTTCAATTACAAAGTCATAAAATTTGATTTCTCATGACGGCTTTGCTTTCAATTTTGCCTGCTTCGGTTCGCTGCCTTATTTATATGCCATCAGTCGTCCTCCGTTCTCGGGGCATTCGCTCCATGTTCCCTCCAAGTGCCTCATGTAATTTCAACCTGACACATCACACGGGGGACGGATGCACGGGACACACTGTCTGACACACGCCTCGAGAGCACACCAAATTGCTGTAAATGGATGCGAGTTAAAAAGCCAGCAATTTTAAATTGCCGCTGTCGACATTGGCGCCCCCTTCGGTGGCAGGCTGACTGGCTGGCAGCTTGGCTTGAATTGCGGCAGGGGGCAAGCATCAGAAGCAGCAGCAGCAGCAGAGCTGTCGAATTTGTGGCAGAGGGTAGCACCATCGCCAGCACCAGCACCAGCACCAGATTCTTGCGCACTTGATGTTTATGTGTCAAGCTGCTGCTGGCTTACATTCCCTTACACTTTTCCCTTTTCCCTTATTTTTTTTGTCGTTCGTTGTGCGTTGTGCGGAGGAGCGTTGGCATGGTTGTAAATAATGAATGCGTTGATTTCGAATCATATATTTATGCCAGCGCGCTTACACTGTCCAACAAAGCGAGGGGCCGAGGTTGTTTTCCCCTCTTTGAATTGTGGAATTGCTATTGCTATTCCGTTAATTTCTTCAGGCATAAGATGTGTGTGTGTCAAGGTCAGGTACATCCCTCATCTGTGAGCCACAAAAGTATTAAGTGCTTGCCATTAATTTTGTTTGCCAGTGCTGTACAACACAACAGTTCCGTTCGTGTAAAATGGCTGCCATATGTACGCGTTACAGGAAGTCTGATGGGTGCTCCAGTGTCCCAGTGTATGTGTGTTTTTGTTTATTTGTGTGCATAATAAAATTTGTTTCCAAACATGTGTAGAAAACAGAGAAGAGGGAAAGGGAAGAAGGGAATTTGCTTATCTTTGGAGGCCCTCTTCCCACTATACCCTACCCCATTATGGTGTTGTTTCTGGCCTGACATTTTCACTGGTGTTTCATTTTTGGTAATGCCTTTGCATTTAAAGTTCACGTGGGCGTATGAGTGATACGATTTGCATATAAGGTACACGAATTTATTTGCCTGTGCGTGTGTGATGTAATAAAGCATTGAGTTTTCCATAAATTGCTCCGCCCTGAAAATAAATACATACATATGTATGTACGTACACTTTGCTTTTGCCATTTCCAGTCGACAGCAGCAAACATTTACATATTTTGTTTGCCTCTTTTGTTATTTTCATTTGATTATTTATGGTTGGTCTTCTGTTTTGGGGTGGGGGAAAAAAGGCGATGATTCCCTGGGCCAGCCCAGACCCAGACCCAGGCCCAAGGAATTTATGTTCGTTTCGTTCCTTTCCCGATATGCCGCCACATAAATGTTCGTTTTGTCAAGTCAAACATTTGCTGGCGTTGTTGTCTCCCATTTTATAGCTCACTTTGTTGCTTTGTGTTTTTCTGCACAATTTATTGGGTTTTAAAATTATTTCTCTGGCGCGCTGTGACATCATCATAAAAAAAACGTACCATTTCGCATTTATTCGCGGCAACATTTGAGCAAAAAAGGAGCCTTTGTCCCCTCCGATCCATTGTCCGCCCTGTGCCTCATTGTGTGGCAGCAAGACGACTCATGTTACTCTTTTGGCCCTTTGGCTAATTGTTGGCCAATTGCCAACCTATTGGGTTTTTTTCGGGGCACAGTCTCGCATTTCAATCAGTTTAAAAAGTCACAACGTTTCAATTGATTTGATTGTGGCTCAGACACAGGGGAATGAATCACTTTGCTGCTGATACAAAGCACATTCTGCCTGCTGCCTCCTGCCTGCTGCCTCTGTTGCTGCTGCTGCTTTAATCTAATGCAATCTGAAGCAGCTCCTGCTGCTGCATCGCAGCAAAGTGCATTGCATCTCTGGCCCCCAACAATTTTCCACTCAATATCCTTGTCCCGACTTTTATGAGATTGCTAGCCAACGTCAGCATCAGCTGCAGTATCAGAGTCTGATTCAGCTTCTGCTTCTGCTGCAGCTTTAGTGGAATGCCTTCTTGGCCATGATCCCGAGAGTGAGTCATAAAATCTTTTTATATGGCTGTCGGATAACTTTGTCTCTTAATTGAATTGTTTTGCGAGCCCCGCATCAGCGTCAAGTTTACACTGGAGACTGGAGAATGCATTCATATCCTCGCAATAATGTCGATATTAAATTCCTTCCACCATGTTGGTGGCTAACCTTTCACTGGTAATTGATTTCCTGCTAATCCTGTACTTTCCCCATGCTCTCATTTCGCTTTCCCATTCACTCACCCTTTCTTCCTTCTTCTTTCTGTTTTTTTCCCCGTACGGCTGTCTCTCTTTAGGGCTTAGACCTCTTCAGACCTCCTCAACACCTTGCCTGCAATAAAAGAGATAAGTTATGAGGTGTGTGTAAGTAATTAAAGAACCTTAGCGCATAATGAGAGTCGGGCTTATGCCTCGGGCACTCCATCACAGCTCCAGACTGGGTATAGAAATCCCCACACTACACTTCACCGTCGTTGCCTGCACCCTTCCCCAAAGGGTGCTCTGACTTTCCCATGCGTCTACTGACTGTTGGAAACTCTTCATCTGTAGGGGCATCCAGGGCGTCGGCTTGAAAGCTTGAATCCCTTCTTTTCTTATGTAAATATAATAAGCCCACCTTCCACTGACTGCCACCTCGTGTGTCTGCTTGAGACGGCATCAATCATACGCCATGTTGTGCTGCGTTCAACGGTGGCTAAACAGGCGGAAACGTTGAATAGCTGCCGCGTACCCACACCCACACCCAAACCCAAACCGACACCCATACAGACACACACGTGTACGCACTCTGTGGCAAGTTAGAAAATTGAAAATTTATCGTCTAGAACAGTGACAGACTCACAGCAACACACGCACACAGAAAGAGCGAAACCGCAACATGAACAGCGCGCGCTAACAAGAAACTGTCAGCAACAAATTTAGCTAGCAACAGTAGCAACAACAGCAACCTGCAACATGCCCCTTCAACTAGGTTGAGCTGTTGCATGCGCTTCATCAACGTCATGCTTAGCCGCATTTGAGACATTGTCGGCAGGCCTGGCTGCAGTAAGTCGAACACCACTGTGCAGCAGACTAGAACGGAGATGGCGACGAGTGCCACCCAGTTGCACACACAACATAAAAATTGCAAACATGCAGCAGCAGCTTCCCCAGCCAGACAGCAACAATCTCAATCACTCAGTTCCCAGTGACTTTGGGAGCTCAATTTTGCTTTAAAGAACTCCGCACAGAGATCTGATAACATCGAGAGGAGTTCCAAAAACCAAGTGACTCTTCAGTCCACAAATTATGTGGGGACTACTGTTCATTTGTGCTTTGAGAGACGGCTAATTTATAAATGAAACTCCATTTAAAATCCCATTAAGTGCAGAGGCAGATAGAATGTAACAAGAAAAATAAATTAGAAAGCCCAAACGAAAGAAATGAACAGCTGCAGGGGGCTGCTACACAAGGGAGCATAAAAAACAAATGCATTTACATGCGGCGTTTAGTACAGAGGATAAAGGGAGAAAAGCCCAACGCTCAGGCTTAAGATAATCTTGCAGCTCCGCAATGGGAATGCAAAATAAAAACACCCGTCGCCAGGGTATCAAAATGCAGCAGAGCTAAGCAATTCTGTGTAGACAAAGGCATAGAATTTGACAGGGACTAAAGAGAGACAGAAAGTATAGAGAAGCAGCTGAATATATAAAGAGTGTAGAATGGTAGAGGCACACGTGTGTGTGTGTGTGTGTGTGAGGATATAATATAGTCAGCTTCAGTCAGCGGGCGACAGTTTTTAATTGAGTTCGCGCTTCGTGTGCGGCAGCCACCGTTATGAATGTGGCAAGGACTCGAGCCTGTATCTGTGAGAGCGAGCGCATTATTTGCACTCAGCTGGAATTGACTCGCTTTGCGGTTGCTGCACTTACACGAGCAGGAGGAGGAGCAGCAGCAGCAGCAGCAGGATCTCTGTTGCAACATCTGTGTTTCCCCTTCATGTGTGTTGCTGCGGTGCTGTCGCCAAGATTTTTAATTAAGTTAATGAAGTGCATCGTGTGGTTTTTCGGTCACAAGCAGTGACTTATCCATCTCTATATTAATAAGGCCATTAAAACGGGACACCGCACGGCACTCTGTAGCACTTTTTTATGTACCAAAAGCAATCAAGAGGGCTCCTCCGCCACACTACCCTTCAACTGCATTTTCTGGATAAATGTGCAGCGATCTCTGCTGAAGGGTCTGGCTCTGGCTCCGGCTCTGGCCGGAAATAAGTGGGAAATAAAAATGAAGCTCGAGCGAAAGTAAACATTAAATATTTATGATGCTGCACAAAAAAAAGATTGCAATCAAAAACGTGAGAAAAGTTTCTATTGCATATTTATGTGCGCAGCCAGCGGAAAGCGCATCAAGGAGCAAAAAAGAAGCGAACGGAAAATGCAGGAAAATTGTAAAAAGTGGACGCGTAAATGCTCTACAGCGTAGGGAAGAGCGGGTATTAAATCAATCAATATAGTTATCTTATTTATAGTTTAGAGAATCAAAAACTTGCGGAAATTTAACAGCTGAAGTTGCTTATTACTTCCTTAGGGAAGTAATATCCAGGAGCTAAATCCACAACGTTTTCGACCAAAAGTACGGATGGGTATGCTATCAATCAGAATCTCATAGCCCAGGGACCCTTTTTTATGGGTAGTGCACCGAAAAACATACCAGAACTGACTCGGCAATTCTCTACAGGAACAAACAGCGAATGTACATCAATCATAAAAGTATCTCTGCGTTCAATTCAGTTCCCTCCACTAGCCCATAGCCCAGAGACCTTACTTTCAGCTATACGCGTAGTGCACCATATACCAATGCTCTACAGTACGAGAGAGAGAGAGAGTGAGAGAGAGCTCTCTGTATGAACTGTAATGAATATAAAAGTGTTGCTTGTGCCTGATGGAAACTGTGTGTTCGAGAAGAGTGAGAGGGAGGATGGCTTACTGGGTGTACAGCGGGGCTCTGCACCAAAATGGTTTTCAATTTAGTTAATTTATGGCGCGCATTGTTGGCACCGAAATCGCACTTGCTGGAGCCCCAGACACCCAGCACACACAATGGGCATATTTATAGCCGTTTTATTTTCCCATTTCAATGCAATTACCCAGGCATATATATGTATTCACTGCATATACCCGTACAGATCTGCTTATAAATGGTGTGTTTTTTCAAATGGAAAAAGCATTGTGTAGGAGCTGAAGCAGCGGCAGCTGCGACAGCTTAAAATGCACTCTAAAATCAGGGAGGAGGAGAAAGAGAATACTGCCCGCCCCCCCGATATCCATCGAGTCCATTGTGTGGGCCCAGCTGTCCGAAATGCGGCACTTATCTCATTTTAAAAGTGAAGAAAAAGAGGCCCATGGAGGCCATAAATACTGCTCCAAGACCAGGTTGGAGAACATGTCTGGCTGGCTGCCTGCTGCGCTTGTTAAGTGCAAAGTTTTAACGCTGGTTAGCAGCTGCTAATTAGCATAAAGTTGGGCCAACTTTCGCGAGACTCCGCCGAGAGCCTTTCAGGGACCTCGTACAGTACACTCTCAGACAACAGCAGCCTCTGAGGAAGGTTTCGAGCGAGACAAGCGAGCAGGAAGAGCAGGTCCATTCATTCCGCATTTTGACAGCGTCACTTTCCTAAAACCCTGCCATGACGCTGCATCTCATTCTGCTCGCAAGGATCAGCATCCAGTTCATCCTGCTCATCTGAATCCTGCTCAGACCATTCTCCATCTTCATCTCCATGCTCCATGCTCCTGTCCCTGTCCCTGTCCCTGTCCCTGTGCCATTTCTTATTTCTGCTCTCGACTGGCGCCGGCATGCGCTGTCGTCTTTTGTTTAGCTTGAAGCACGTCTCGCTCATCTCTTTGATAAATATTAGTTTAATTCTTTTGCTGCCAGCCCCACCCAGACTCCACCCCCACGGGCTCCACTCAAGGGCTCAAGGCTGCGGCTGCCGTCAGTCTCTTTAGTGGCTCGTTTTCGTATTTCATACAATTATTCGGCATTTCTTTTTCATCTCCCTCCCTCTCTCTCTCTCTCTCTCTCTCTCTCTTGCCTTGTCTTGCCTCACTTTACTGCTGCGGCCTGTGCTCCATTTGGTGTCCTTTGTCGGGCTTTTGCACAAATGAAAAATGTTAATATTTGCCTTTGATTGAAATCGGAGTATCGACTGCTGCACTTGGCCCAAAACAATTGGTAATTCGATCAATGGGAAGCGGGAAATGGCAGAGAGAAATTCCAAAAAAATTTCAGTTGTTTAATTGATGGAAAATAAATATTTTGAAAAGGTTTTATAAATAAATAAATATCAAAACTAGCCTATGATTCTGGGCAGTAGCTACAGAGCACATCTCGTATTTAATGGATTCCATCAATAGAACACTCTCTGAACAGTGAATCATCGAACGACAGAAGTGGATGACAATTTGTCAGCTGATGAGAGATTACAGTTCCCCTTGATTTCCAATATAAAATCAGACTCACGCAATTGTGTCTGGCGGTGGAAATGGTTGCTGCAAAGAAGAAACCACCTTAATTCGATGCTTTGTGGAGCCATCGAGCAGACAATCCGGGCCAAATCTCGTGGCTCTATTAGACGGCCTGCAATTTGGCTCATTCAAGGCGCACAAACGCACACACTTTGAGATACTGAGATACAGAGATACTTTCCATTCAATGGTAACGCAATCAATGGCAGCTGAAAATTTCTTTTGGCTGGCGATGGCGCTGCGCAGTGGCTGTGGCTGTGGCTATGACTTTGAGTGTGGTCTTGGCCAAAACTGGCAATTGCCAACTGCCACACACAACCTTGATGCATTTTGGTTTCGTTTCTCGTTCATTGAGAGGAAACTGCTGCGTCTGCTGGTTCATTCATGGGATCCACATCCACACTGATTTCTCCTCTCCCTCTTTGACAAGCTGCCTGACATTTGCCAGATTTTCCGACACGTTTATTGCATAGAATATCAGGAAAGCTTTCTGTGTCTCTGTCTTTGTATCTGTCTCAGTGCCCATCCCTCCCTCCATCGAGTCGACATTCGCTTTGAGCGAAATTATGATTCGGTGACAGGGCCAGGCCATGTGACGTTTAAATTGAATTTTCGATTTTTAGAATGTTTATTTCCCAAACATTTCGCGTGTCTCTGCTGTTCTGGGGCTATACTATATACGAGAAATATTCTAAATTGAGAAAGAAATTCGCCTTGACAGTGATGTATGTACATCTCAGATCGAGGGGAACGAGCGACAGGTGCAAATGTCATTCCATGGGTCCAGCAATTTGTCGGAAGGAAAAGGAAAAGTTCAGGGCTT